CCACACCTATTCTCTTCCCTACTTTTGTTTTTAACGTTTCGCTAAAAAAGTCAACTTTCTAGTTTGAAACAATTTTAGACATACAGAAAAGTTGTAATGACAGTGCAGAGAGCTCCTGCGACATAAACATCTTACACAGCCATGGTATATTTCTGAAAACTAAGGAGTGAACCTTTTTACTGTATAGACTCATTTGGATTTCACTTTTTCCACTAATGTCCCTTTTCTTCTCCAGGATCCCATCCAAGAAACCACATTACACTTAGTTTCCAGGTCTCCTTAGTTTTACCTGGCCTGTGACAGTTTCTCAGGAATCTTAATTTGTCCCAGCTGCCATAACAAAATACCACAGGCTGAGTGGCTTGTACATGGTGGAAAATCTACTCTTTACAGTTTTGAAGGCTGGACATCCAGGCTGGAGATCCGGGAGCCAGCATGGCCAGGTGAGGGCTGTCTTCTGCTTGTGTCCGCACATGGGAAGGGGCGAGAGGGAGCTCTGGGGTCTCTTTTTTTGTTTGTTTGTTTTAATTTTTTGTTTTCTTATTAGTCATCCATTTTATACACATCAGTGTATACATGTCAATCCCAATCTCCCAATTCATCACACCACCCCCCCTGTGGGGGTTTTTTTTTTTTTTTTTTTTTTTTTTTTTTTTTTTGCGGTACGCGGGCCTCTCACTGTTGTGGGCTCTCCCGCTGTGGAGCACAGGCTCCGGACATGCAGGCTCAGTGACCATGGCTCACGGGTCCAGCCGCTCCACGGCATGTGGGATCTTCCCGGACTGGGGCACAAACCCATGTCCCCTGCATCGGCAGGCAGACTCTCAACCACTGCACCACCAGGGAAGCCCATCTGGGGTCTCTTTTAACGGCACTAATCCCTTTCATGAAGGCTCCATCCTCATGACCTAGTCACCCCCACCTGACACCACCTTCTAATACCATCACACTGGGGGTGAGGATTTCAACATGTGAATTTTGAGGGAACACAAACCTTCAGTTCATAGCATCAGGCTTTCCTTGTTTTGCATAATCTTGGCACTTTTGAAGAGTACTGCTGGTCAGGTATTTTGTTGAATGTCCCGCAGTTGGGGTCTGTATGCTGTTTTCTCATGATCAGAGTGAGGTTATGTGTTTGGGGGAAGATCCCACGGAGGCAATGCTCCCTTCTCATCACCCCATATCAGAAGAAACAAGATGATAACACAACATACCACTGGGGAAGTTGACCTTGACCACACAGTCAAGGTACTTTACCCAAGGTCGTGGCTGTCAGGTCTCTCCACCTAGCAGTACTATTCTTTACTTCCTGCTCTAATTGTCAAACTCACACTCCATAGCATTTGCCATCAACTGACATGTGATGTATTTTACTTTTCTTTTTTATTCTTTGTTATTTTTTTTGTTATGGTCACTCCATACTAGAATACAGCTCCTCCAGAGCAGAGATCTTTGTTGTTTTCTTCATTTATCTCTATCACCTGGAGCAGTGCCAGGGGATATTCAATAAACATCTGTGGACAAAAGAATTACCCTCATCAGAGTTTGTAATTCTGCTTGTTTGTTTGTATACCTGGTTAGTGCCTAAGCCCGTATCTGCTGGGCTCAACATTACACCCTTTTACTAGCTCCTTGCCTGAGTCCCTGTAGGCACCCCATGAGCAATGGCCTTTGGATGAAAGAGCTAAATAAACAAGGGTAGTCTGGGCAAGGCTGTTTAATGGGGCATGAAGTGCTTCCTCTGGAGACCAAGTTCATTCTTTTTGGCATGGGTTTCTGCAGGGAGAGGAGGGGGAAGGAGTCCTGGGCCCTAGCACTGTTCCTCCACTTTCTGGCAGCAGTGGAGTCCACATGGGTAGGGCCTCAGAGTGCAGGTGGTCAGAGAGGGAAATGAAAGTGGGTTCCTAAGAACACGAATGAACTTGGCAACAGCTGCTAAGAAACTCAAAGTTGGGGTGACTGCTATGGGTTGAATTGCATCCCCCTAAATTCATATGTTGAAGTCCTAACCCCCAGTACCACAGAACGTGACTGGATTTGGAGATGGCATCTTTAAAGAGATGATTAAGTTAAAATTAGGGTGGGCCCCAATCCAATATGACTGCTGGAGATTGGGAGATGATAAGATTTGGACACAGACATACACACACACAGGGAAGCCCATGTGAGGACACAGAGAGAAGACGGTCGTCTACAAACACAAAAGAGAGCCCTCAGAAGGAACCAGCCCTGATGACACCTTGATCTCAGACTTCCAGCCTCCAGGACTGTAAGATAATACATTTATGTTGTTAAGCCACTCCGTCTGTGGGACTTTGTTATGGCACCCCTAGTAAATGAATACGGCGGCTAGGAAAGGGGGTCCTGAGGGGGACAGCCATGCCTATAATGAGGGCTCTGACAGACCTGGTACTTTATCTCACCTGATGAATGAGGTCTATCCCAGGGAGGGGCAGGTGGGGCTGATGGAGAGGCAGGTATGGATGGGAGTGAGCGCCCCCTAGGGGGATGGGTGAAGCATCTATGGTATGCACAGATGGGAGAGTGAGGGGCAGGAAGAGGTCCAGGGCATGGTTTAGGTGTGGCGTGGATGGCCAAACTACCCTGAAATCAGGAGGAGACAGAAGAGACGAAACCTGGGCCTCATGTTCAGAGTCCTTGTCACTGGACCGCAAGCACTGTCCTCTCTTTCCTCCTTGCTCTCCTTCCCACTCCCTGCCCTGGTCCAGGTTGAAGTCTCCACAGTTTCCCATCCACACTGCCGCTCACTCAGCCTCATGCTCTCTCCATCTGTTCCCTTGGCCTGGAAGTCCCCGCTCTGTTCCCAAGTCTGCTGTCTGTGAAGCCCTACATGCTCTTCAAGGTCAGCTCAGTGTCACCTCTTCAGCAGAACCTTCCCTGAGCCCTCAGAAGTTAACTCTCTTTCTCTCTCTCTGAGTTGCTCTATCAGTTTGTTCAGCCCAGGATCGTGTGACAATTGACTTACATGACCTGCCGTGACTCCCAGCTCGGAGCTTCCTTCCATGACACCCCAAATCGGCCGCCCTGAGCCCGGCCCGATCCCCACACGGGAGCTGTTTTGTGACTGTTTGCTGAGTGAACTTTAGACAGTGCTGGACCTTGGCCTTACACACATGGCACAGCCAGGACCTCCCCCTGACCTTGGACTGGCTGAGTAAACTCTGAGAAAAATATTTGCCAAAAAAAGACCAGGTGTTGCGAAAGGAAAAGGCACACAGGAGCGGGTCTGGCTCCATGAGGAGGCCCCATCCTCCAGAGCTTCCCAAGCCCAAAGCAAAAACGCCGACAAGGCGTCTGGCTCTGGTTGCAGCCATCTACCCTGCCGCCGGCCGACACCTGTGCCATCTGGGTCCCCGGGCCTGGGCCTTACACTGTCACCAGAAGTGGGGCTCTGGGAAGGCACTTATGTTGCCCTCTGTGAAATGAGGATGCTGAGATAGACCTTACAGGGTTGTTGAAGGATTAATGACATCACAGATGCAAAGTATCCCCACACCTGGCATATAGTAGGTGCTCAGTACTTTGAGGGATGGTCAAAGCTTGGGGTTCTGACGCCGTTAGTTCTAAGGGGCACCCACACAGTCCAGTCTCTGGGGTCAGAGCACTGGGCGCAGGCTCGTGGAAAGCAAGCTTTGGGCATGTAAGGTGGGGCGACAGGCACTCAGGGGTCAGACTTGGGGGCAGCTAATTAGGGGAAAGTCTGAGACTGAGTGAAGGACTCATTCACTCATTCATTCATTGATTCTTGAAAGGGTCCAATCCCCTTTATTTGATAGACAAGGAAGCATGGTGGGTTTCGTGAAGGAAGAGAGTGAGCCTACCTGGATGACAAGGGAGCTGGTGCCCTGATGCACTTGGCCTGGGCTTCTGTCTCTGGCTCATGTCTCCTCTGCGGCAGAGCCCGGGGCTGAGAGGGTGGTCCGGGGGCCACACTCCTGGGGTCAAATCCTGCCTCCACCACCAAGGAGCTGTGTGACTGGGTATATTACCTGTTCTCTACAAGCCTCACCTTCCCTATCTGTAAAGTGGGGATAATAGGAGTGCCTGCCTGGTACAGGATATTGTGAGGGGTAAGTGCAACCATCCAGTTTAAGCGCCTAGCATCAGTCCTGGAACATAAGCTGTTAATGTTGCTGTTCCCAGACCTACTTCCAGAAGGACCATGACACCCAGTGTTTGCAAAATGCTTTATTGTTATTGCTGACACTAAAATCCACAGTTAGTCATCAGGGTCTTCAACTGATACTCTAGTATTTGCAACAGGCCTCCATTCTCCCACCCCCAGCCAAGCCCACGAGGTTGTAAATGTACCCACAGGACGTTACAAACCTGGGATGGCTGTGTCCACCCTGCCGTCCACCTGCTTTCCTTAAAAGATGGGTGGCACTTGGATGCATTGAAATCAACTGATTTGTGGGGAACATTCTACACTTTTTATATGATTTCAAGGATCCTCCAGTCCTTGACCTGACCCTTCATCGTATACGTGGGGAAACCGAAGTCCAGAGAGTGACAGTATTACCCAATGTCACACAGCTGGGACAGAAGCCCCACTTCATACCCCCATTCCAGTGTCCTTTCCAAACCATGGCAAACTGGTAGCTGGTATTGCAGACAGGTGGGGAACTAGGCTTGGGAATATGCTTCCTCGTGGAAATATCTACTGGAACAATCCTCCTGGATTGGATTCTGAGCTTCTCTCTGCCACTGGCATGCTGTGTGGCCTCTCTGGATCTCAGTGCTAATCTCCATTGATGAAAGGTGAGAGCAAAACCAAATGTTCTCCAAAGCACCCGTCTTGCAATCGTGTGAAAGAAGCAATCATCAGTATTTCAATGTTATTGTTATTATTATTATTTGTGGAAGCCTCATTAGTCAATTAAACCTGTATATATCACCAGCTCCCAACAGATACATGGCCATAGTGCACCCTCATCTTCCACTGTGGAAGCCCGTGCCTTTCAGGAGAAATCCCCATCTCAAGGGCGAGTCACTTTGCCGAGGAAAAGGATGTGTTTGCTGTTCTCCACAATGAGCATCAGAAAGGGCCTGTTGAATACTATCTTTTGAGAGCTCATCCGGGCAGATCTGAACATGAAGATAGTCCCCGTGGCTGCAGCCGCTTGGGTTCCCGACTCGTCCACCTCCACCACGGCTTTGTGAACCATCTGCAGGGGAGACATCAGGCGTCACCGAGCCACCAGGGGCTGGGAGATGCCATCAGGGGGAAACGGACAAGCTTCTGCCAGCAGCATCACTGTCAAAGTTTCTGTGCTCCTGAGCCATGAAGCAGATAGGAGATGATGTGATTGAACAACTACTGCGCACCACGGCTTACAGGTGAGCGCATGCGTGTCTTTCGTTGAATTCTCACTGCATCTAGCAGCAAGGGTGTGACTCTCCAAGTTTATAGAGAGAAAGGAGGCTCAGAGAGGTCAAGTAATTGCTGGGGGGTTCACACAGCTGGTGAGTGAAGGAGCTAGCATCCAATTCTTAGTTTCGATTGCTTCAGACAAGACACCTTCCCCCCAAGGCATGGTGCTGGATAGGGTTTCCCATTGTTCAGAGGATAAGATGCAAAGTGAAACCTTTGCTTCCTGAGGGAAAAGAGGAGAGAGAGAGAGAGAGAGAGAGAGAGAGAGAGAGAGAGAGAGAGAAAGGATTTGGAATGAGGAATGGGATGGAATAGGATGGAATAGGATAGGATAGGATAGGATAGGATAGGATAGGATAGGATAAGATAGGATAGGATAGGATAAGATAAGATAAGATAGGATAAGATAGGATAGGATAGGAATTTCTGAAAGCAGGTGCTCAGGAGCTTCTGGGCTCACCTCAGACACCTGGATGCTGGAATGGTTGGAGATACCGGTCAGGTCAGCATGGGAGGTGAAGACATCTCTGATTCCCAGCTTGGGGAGGACTTTCTCCAGCTGATAGGAGCCCTCAATGGAGAACTTGGGTAGGTAAAGCTCAAGCTGCCTGGAAAGACAAGACCTTTCTTGGACTCTCCCAGAGCACTGGCTCACTGAGCTCACATTCCTGCCATCTCCTGTTGGTTTCATAATGCTCCTCCAGCACCTTGCCTACAGTGGAACCCATCCTGCCCTAGACTTGGACCTGGGCTGCCCCCAGAGGTCATTGCCCACTCGGATGGCCCCGCCAGAAAACCCAGCTCCCAGCCCCGGTCCCTCTAGCTGGGTCAGGCCAGGGGGCTGGGACTTCACATGATGCCTCTGGGCTGGGAGGTGGCTCCCAGGCCAGGTGAGTTCTCCCACCACTGCGGTGTGGCCCTGCAGGTGTGCAGCAGCAGGCTGGCCCTGGAATAGTGTGAAGAATACCTCTTCATGGACAACTTGAGCCACTTCCTCAGTGTTTTCTCTTTCAGGCCATTTTCCACCTGTCCCATCCCGCCCTCGCTGGGGAGGATGAAGAGGGCAGTGGCGTTCCCTTGGTAGGGGACCCCTACCACCCTGCAGGAGAGGTTTCGGTCCAGAAGGTAGTAAAACTGATCGTCTCGTTTCATCATGGGTACCCGCACCACCGTCTCCGAGGTCACGTGGAAGTCCTGCTCGTGGGTGTTTTTGCGGTTGAAGCTTGTCTCCCACTTAGCTGAAGATTAAAATGGAAAAGGAATTAAACATTCTCAGCTGCCAATGAAAAGTGTGCAGACACTAAACCTACCAAACAGACAGCATCCTCTCTGGAGCAGTCTTATTGGCAGAAGTGACTGCCAAACCTCTTGAATATAAAGACAAGCCCCTTCCTAATTCGGGGGACAGGCTTGAACTTTTTGTGGGGCTTTATTTCCACATTTGCAAAACCAGGAGGTTGGTTTTCGTGTCTTCAGAGACCCTTCACCCCTAATGTCATTTGTCTGAATCTCTGATGTTGCTACTCAAGGTCAAACATCCCAGTGAAGAGGGTAACTGATACGTATGGCTGACAAAGCTACACTATATCTGGGTGAGTTATTCTCTTTTTCAGTCTTTTCCCAATACTGGATCTCAATCTGGGTTTGGGAGAAAGGTTGGTAAGGTTCCTGCAAAAACATGATTTTTCCTGCTGGGAAGTCTGTGATTATGCTTCTTGCTTTGTCTGCTTGGGACGTTTTGTTCAAAGTGGGACAAGTAATTGTTTCCATTTTCTTACTAGTTATCAAATATAGATCCCGCCCGCATGCCCCACTTAGATTATTTCACAGCTGTCCTCTGCAGCCTAGCCCTGGACCAGGGGACAAGAAATCTTAGAGTCCCAGCCTGATACTCACCATCTGTGACCACGGGAAGAGGGGGGCTTGGTTAACAGTTTAACTATTTTCCTCTTTTCTTTTCTCTCCCTGCCCCTCCCCCATCCCCAGCAGGCCCCACGCAGGGTGCTCAGGGGCTCAGTATCTAGAAGGAGAAGCAGGTGTGCAAGCTGAGATGAGCAGGGATGTTTACGAGAAATGCCAGGGAGATAAAGATGGGGGGGGGTCAGCTCTTGGGGAGGGGGGAGACGACTGTTCAGGGGAACAGGCTCTTGTCCCAGGATTTCTCGGCTGAGGAAACAGCCCCTAGGAGGATATGGGTACCAGGGAGCATCTGGGAAATGCCCTCTGAGGCCCTTCTAAGGCCCACGGTCCTGCCCTGAGTAGCCATACTGTCAGTTTCTTTGGCATCGTGCCCTTGAAAAACTCATGCTTCAGAGCCTCTGTGAAAGCTGTTGCTTTAAGTGCCCCCAGGGGCACAGACAGGAACCAGCTCTTCCCCAGTGGAGGAAACAGCATCCGGGGTCTTTCACTCCACCTTATGCAGTAAGAAGGCACTGTCTCACCCAGCTGCTGTTGGCTGCACTCTATCAACAGGGATCAGAAAAGAATAAATCCACTCCCACTCTTCCATGTGTGCGGGAATTGGTTTGGTTTTGTTTTTTGTTTTTTGACAAAAGCATCTTAAAAGAGAAAGTTCAGGGCCTTACCTTTAAAGAAAATGTAATTCACTATGACCATGACCTCGGTGCCGTCCAGGCCCTTAACCAAGTCCACAATCTTGCCTTTCGTTTGCTTTGCCACGTAATCATTGATCTGCTTCTGGGCCCCTTCAGGGTCCTCAAAGTCGGTGGGGAAAGTGTCTGCCAGGTACAGCGTCCTCATGGCGCCCAGGAAGGCCTCCTCCATGGGCACCGTGGGCTTGGTGAACAGGGCGTTGCCGAGGCTCAGCTGGAGGCCGTCTCTGGGCCGCTCGAGCTCCCGCAGCAGCAGCTGGGAGGTGCTGTGGAGCTCCTCGTCCCGGCCCTCCTGGGGGCTGAGGCCCAGGCCCGCCAGGACCTGCGCCTTCGTGTTGCACCGCGTCCCCAGGGAGAGCATGGCCAGGCTCACGGAGATGCTCAGAGGGGAGAAGAAAATGCTCCGGCCGGGGGCAGCTGCGGCCAAGGCCCTGTAGAGCTCGAAGACAAAGTCCCGGCTGCCAGGGGCCACTGTGGCAACTGCGGGCGGCGGCTCCTGAACTCTCTTCTTCTGGGGGCGGCGCAGGGCGGCCATCCGCGGGCTCAGGAGTACCAGGCACAGGAGTAAACGGAGCCGCATCGTGGCTGCCCAGGCCTGGAAGGGAGGGTGGGAAGGTCACAAAGCAAAGCTGCCATGCCGGGAGGCGGCACCATCAACCAGCAGCCTCA